TCTACTGCTTGGAGAAATATCTGAGACACAAGGCACTGACTGAGTTGGATTAGTTGGAGAGTTAATCATCCACTATGAAAGACAATTCAAATAGATAACCAAAAGTATAAACACATTCTTGGATAGTGTTGGATCATAACTGTCATGTGGACCTAGATGTGTTATAAAAGTTGCGGAGAGTCTGAATTTGTACGACAGTTACTAAATGTAGCAGTGTTGTCACGCCTTTTGATTTAAGTTTTGTGATAGTGCTTTGCTTAGTCAACTGAACTCCCACCTGTAACTGGGAAACCATGGACATTATGTGATCCCAGATTAAAAATTTAGTTAGCTATTTTTCAGTTTCATTTGTGACAATGATGATGATGATTATTATTATGTCACATGTTATCATTTGTATTTCTTAAGCGTTTATCAAATTGCAGTTGTGTCAAACAGTGTAAAATAACATCTAGGAGATGGGTCACACCAAGCCTGTAGGGGTTATTCTTTTTTAAAGTTCTTCTTCTTTTTCATTCTATTTTATTCTATCAGTTTTTTTGGCAATTTAAGCTTGTAATTAAATGGCTATTTAAAATTACATTAAGTACATTAATATTTACATAGACTATCATTGCTAATCTAGCATGGCATGTGATAATTTCATAACCCAAGGGTAGAAAATGTAAAACTTTAGTGTTTGGCTGTGTACTATAGAAAATAGATAGAGAACCTACAGGTAAATTGATTGTGGAAACAACAGTCTGGGAGAATGATTCAATGTCCAACAAAATGGCCCCGAACAACCCATGTAGGTCTGGATTTGGAGTCACACTCAAAATTAAGGTGGAAAAACACACTACAGGCTGATCCAACTTTGATGTAATGTCCTTAAAACAAGTCAAAATGAGGCTCAGTAGTGTGTGTGGCCTCCACGTGCCTATATGATCACCCTACAACACCTGGGCATGCTCTTGATGAGGTGGCGGATGGTCTCCTGAGGGATCTCCTCCCAAACCTGGGCTAAAACATCCACCAACTCCTGGACAGTCTGTCATGCAATGTGGTGTTGGTGGATGGAGCAAGACATGAAGTCCCAGTTGTGCTGAATTGGACTCAGGTCTGGGGAACGGGCGGGCCAATCCATAGCATCAATGCCTTCGTCTTGCAGGAACTGCTGACACACTCCAACCACATGAGGTCTAGCACTGTCTTGCATTAGGAGGAACCCAGGGCCAACTGCACCAGC